CCTCCTTCTCTCTGTCCGTCCCTGCCTCACTCCATGCAGTCCCTTCCTCTTCCATTGGCATGAACCGCAAGTAGGCTTTGCTCAAGCCTTACTCTCAGAAAACAGTGATAAGCAGAAATATTTGTTCTGTTCCTCCCCAGTAATTTACTCTTTTTGTTCACAAAAGGAGACTGGAAAGGCCTCTACCTGCAGTCCCGTAAAGTGACATATTTACATCCCATAAGTGGCCTTCCAGTGAGAATGGCAAACCTTTCGTTGTGCTGCAGCTGCCACTTTGTCTACATTGAGTCATAGCATCTCACTCGTCACCTTGCACGACTTTGAGCATATCCTCTGATTTTACACCAGCTTTGCAGAAACTCGATTCAAAGAGGCATGGATACTATTCTGTTTAGGCTGCAAAGCCCTTCCCTTTTCAGTCTGTACTCAGAGATCGCTTAGGGCTCCTCTCAGCAGACTGCCTCACCTGTACAGGATCTGGGAGTCCTGCTGCTGTAGCCACTGAACTTCAGAGAGTTTTTTGGAAAGCAAGAGAGAGAAAGAGAATGCATTTTTCTGTTTCAGGACAAAAAAGGGTCAGAGATGCCCCAGGTAAGCTCAGAATTACATGAAGTTATGTCTGCTTGATATGAAATGATCCTATGGTAGCTTTACAGCAGTAATTCACATTTTAGAGAGTAGCTTTTGAAGGATGCAATAGCTCCTATTTTTCTTCTTGTTAATGGCTTTAGACAGTTCCCATAGACGGGAGCAGATCTCATTGTTTTTCAGTGGCATGTGAATATTTGCATTAGTGGGGTCTTTGTTCATACTACCTGCAGTTGCTTTTTTAAGTGTGGTGTTTCTGCATTCAGGGAGTGGGGAAAAAAGTGGAGTATGCAGTGTTTTCAGATGTTATCTCGTGTATGATATTTTCAAATGTAATTTAGTCCTTTCAGTAAGCTAGGGGTTTGGTCTAAGACTCTAGAACAAACCAGCTTTTCTATCTTGTGCTTGTATAGCTGAAGAAAACATTACAGAAAAGGAAGGAAGTACGAATTTTGACTAGGTGAATAAAGAACAACGCACAGATACACCTGTGCTTTACCTCACCACTGCTGGTCATTCCCACTACACATCCTCCAAGGCCACGACTGCTAGAGATGTGTGGAAAGGCAGTGTTTTGGGGCTAGTTATGGGCTGTATGAAATGCGCTCTGATGAACACCTGCTCCCAAACACCACATTTCTTCCGTTACGTGGCTTTAAGTGAAACACAAAACCATAGTTAGTGTTTCTTGTATTTAATTTGCAAAATAGACTTACAGTGCATACACTGAATACTGGCCATATGCCATAAAAACTATGCATACTTTGCAAAGAAAAATTAATATCAGAATTAACTCACTAGAGACTTTTTTCCTCCCCTTACCCCATGGAGTTACAAAGCTCAGACAGGTTGGGACTACGGTGCCAGTGGATCACTAATGCAGAGAAAATTCTCGCGCAAGATTTATACAACCGTTTTGAGCATCCGATGCCAAAAACGTGGGTAGAGGCGCTCCTCACAAATAAGTGTAAAGCCCTTGTATAATGATATTTCTCTGAGAGCTGCAGATTATTCCCACCTCTAGTAATCAGTTCAGAGCAATTGCTGCTATCTAAAGCTCACTTACATCAGCTGGGAAATAACTGTTACTTTGAAACTCCACAGTGATCTGCTTTTGATTGAGCTGCTGCTTAAAGAAAAAGCAGTAAGCAAGACAATAAAAACAATTATAGATAGCTACAAGCCCACTTGCTACTATATCTGCCTTCATAATTCAATTTAAAACATTCCATTAGCCAGCAGGGTAGCAAAATGTTTTTTTGTCAGAAACACTGCAGACAATATTGCTTTTTTTCCCTTCCAAATTAATGCATTAGCTTTCTGAGCTCGAGGACATCCTCAGAGTGCTTGTTTCACTTGCAGGTTGAAGTCTTTTAATGAGGTAAAAGGACACAGTGGTGGATAGGCTATCAGCAGGGATAAGCTTAGTAGTGAGTTTACCTGTTAAGACTCACAAAGGCTTCAAAATGTGCATTACTGCATAGATACGATTCACTCACCATGTTTGTCACATCTTAGGTCTTGGTATGCTGTAGCCTGTCATGTCAGGCATCTCCTTTGGGCTAATAATCCAGGCTCCTTTCAAGCCAGTGAAGAAGGAAAGGCTCTTCCTTCTTCAAGGCGAAACTCCCCATCCTAAGGTTCGTGTCAAGGATGGTGGTCAACCCACTGACATCAAGAGTAGATGACCCTTCGCTGCTGAGCTGATGGCAATCTGTTGTCCAGCCTTTTGTCAACATTGGGTGCAAAGTCATGTTTGAACCAGTGCTAGCTGAAAGAGTGCCAGACTACTCTTAAAACATGACCCCTTTTCCTGCCTCTAGACAAGGCATAAATTTATCTTGGTCTGAGAGGTTATAAATCATGCTTTGAGGGGCCAGGAGAAAGGAATGTGTTATTACGAGGAATTAGTACTCCATGTTTGCATTTCATTAGCACTTAGAGGCCCCAGTCAAGATCAGGATCTGGGGAGATGCGACACAATGGGCGAGCGCAACAGTGAGAAGCAGGAGGAATCTTGAGTTTTGGCAGAGGTCATAGGAGGGCTTTTCCTGGCCTGTCGGAGGAGGGCAGCCCATGCAAGCAAGGCATCATGGAAGAAAGAGAAAGAAGCTGGCACGCTGGTGATTAATGGCAAAGCAAGGAAGGGGTATGAGAGACATTAGCTGTATAGACAGATGGGATTTTGATGGAGTAAAAGGGGGGACTTAAATATCCCAGTCGCTGTCTCATGTCTCATTGAAACAAGATAGCTAAAGCCACTCTGAAAATGGTACCAGTCACGGTGGCCCATTCTCCCAAGTGCTGAGTGCTAAAAATGCACTCATTGCATTTTTGGGGAACACATGAAAGTCAAATGTGACGGACTACTTCATCCTTATTCTCAGAAAGAAGAACTCAAAATGTATAAGTGATATTTGTTGATAGCCAATCTGCTAAAAGCATGTTTTCTTTGGATTCAGTGTATGCAGCAAATGGTAGAATGTCACGCATCACCTACTATAAACATGCCCCTTGGGTGCCTTCATGTTAGAAAAGGCTTTGAATATCAGACAACTTTTGTGTAGGTGCTTGCAGCTTTCTAGTCAACTCCAGTGGAATCAATCAGTAGATAAAAGCATTGTTCCACCTCAGGATAGAAGCTATCTTTCAGAAACAAAAATATTGGGATTTGTTCAATTCTTACTTCTGTATATCTGTAACAAAATTTCTTACTTCTGTATATCTGGAGATGGCTGAACAAAAACCGTGCAGGAATCTTCCCCACATTTACAGATGACAGATAGTCACTTCCATTTGTTTTAGCCATTTAAAAATTAGAGGCGTATTCTCAAGAGCTTAAGCTTCCTCTGCAGTCAGTATAGGGAGACAGACACCATCAGAGGAGCTGTTTATCCCACCCACTGTGGGAATAAGTTGAGCTGCTTTCTGTGAGTGGTGGAGAGCGCCTTTCAACTAAACGATTCAGTTTTAGGCAGGTGAAATCAAGTGAAATTAATAACCTGAATGACTTGCCAGAGGTCACATAGCCCATCAATGGCATGGCTCCTGTGCTGAGTACTGACTGATGTCCAGGCTTCAAGCATGCCTACCCTGTTTTGACAGAATTTAGAGCAAAACTTATCCAAACTACGGGGCAACCAGAGATTGTAGTTTGGGTCTGCAGCTGCAGCCTAGCAGGTACATGCCTGACTTAGGTTTAACTCAGCTCACGGAGGTGGTTTTGCAGGCACAGAGCAGCATGAGGAGCTGAGGATGCAATATGGCCTCCCCATCATCCCTGTTGCTGTTAGCTAGTTTAGGGCAACCTCAGGTAGATTCACCTTACACTGGTAGTTAACAGCAATGACTGTAGTGGGGACTTTTTTGAGCACTGTCTCTCTTACAGTACTGCTCCCTTTGGTCAGGGCACTATCATTTCCTTGACAGACACTGCATGGGCAAATCCTAAGGCTGGGATTTCTCATCTTACCCTGGCAGCCTCTTTAAAGGTTGCTAACTAAACCCTGCTCCTGCCTTCTCCAGGTATTCCCTAAACGCAGCAGGGAGTAAACTAAGAAACACTGCAGGCACAGTGGTACTTCCATTTAATAGCAGTTTAGACACCTAATGGTGTCTAGCAGCATTGGTGGCCCAAAACTGTTAATACTTCGCATAGATGAGCCCATCTGCAGGAGATGCTAGGTTAGCCTGTGGATCAAAGCCCCCTGTGGACACAAGGGTGGCAATCATATACGCACAGGAAGGGACAATGCCTCCAGCCCCCCTTCCTTTCCCTCCCTACAGAGTTGAACCAGAGCAGCCACAGCTCTCGTTTCTGAGCAGGGGAAGAGGCATTCAGCGTTCAGCCGGTCACCCTCTCCTCTAGGAAGAAGGCAGTGGCTGGACCGAGGGGTTCAGTCCCGAGGGATTGAATCAGCACAGGGCCTCAGGTTAAGCTCCACTGAAAAACACCTACTTCAAGGCAATACCAGGAAGAAGCCTCATCCAGAGCCTCATTTTATTGGGCACTATATCAGCAGTCTGTAATGACTCTCACACCCCAATATCACTTGAATGCAATTAATGCAATATGAGTAACTGCATATAAATTACACATTTTTAATGAAATACACGAGTGTTGCAGAAATTTAAGGTCGCTTGATGGACAGGGCTAGTGAAATCCTCCCTTCCTCCCAGGCTGGGTGTGGGGTAGTGTATCTCTGAGGTATGCATTTAAACTCCACTCCCTGTGTCAATCAACAAAATACAGGGTCAGGTAATTAGTGCTTGTGGTAGCAGCAGATAGAGAACTCAGAGGACTTGCCAGATCCTCCCTGGCCTTACTTCTTTCCTCACATACAAGTACACTTACCAATCAGGAAGAAAAACTGAGCCATTCTGATCTGTATTTTCACTCTTGTCTTTTCCAGCCACTTCCACATCTACAACTGGGACAAGTCATCTCACGAAATGTGACATAAAGCAGAAAGCCTTCTGTGTAAATGGGGGAGAGTGTTACATGGTTAAAGACCTCCCAAACCCCCCAAGATACCTGTGCAGGTAAGAAGTCCTATTTGCTTACTCTGATGGAGCCACCACGTTCCAGAAATGCTTTTTCTTTAAAGGAGCATCTGAACAATTTCTTCTCCTGTACTTGCAGCATTAGATATTTCTTCATTTTTAAGTAGGTGGATGTGAAAATAACCTACCAAGAATGACCTCTGTGTTCCATATATGAGGCATAACAGAGGCTAACCAGGAAATCTTCCCACGTGATACTGGCACAGCAAGCCCCTTGATGTTTACATGGCATGAAGTAACATAATTTGAGCCTTATGTTAGAAATAATGAAACAGATACTGTAAACTAAATACACTGCAAATAGCAAAAAAAGGTGTGTGGATAACTGCATTGGATAAGTACCCTTTATACAGGACAAACTGGTTATTTTTATTGTCTGCTGTAGTAACTGAACACTTTCTGATGAGACTGGATTCACAACTGGAGGTTTTGTATTGTGTTTAATTGCATAAAAAACAATGAATGTCATGGTAATTGGTGGAGGTTAATATTTCGTGTGAGGATCTGGATTCAGGAAGTGATACAAGTATGAGTGTAGTTTTAAGGGTGTGCTTGTGCACCTTTCTCAAGTCCTGGCCTGTGCTGTATCGGGCTGTTGCAATATTTCATTATGTTGGAGAACATCCATGAAGAGCTACAGCTCTGGAGTTCACCTCCTGCCTGGTAGCGCATCGCGTAGCATTTACCTCTGGAGGTGAACTAGTCATAGTGAGTTACTGCTTCTCTCTGGCTTGAGAAGGAACTCAGCATTTAAACCTTGGGAAACGTCCTTGGGACCTAGCAGGACTGAGCAGAAAGAGGGCACTTTTGTGAGGATATTGCTGTTTTTCGGACAGACAAGAGACAGTTGTCAGTAAAGACTGTTGTCTGCTGTAACTGCATGGATTTTCAGTCTTCTAGGTCTAAAAATCAAACAACACTAATCGTAAAGATGGCTCTGGTGAGTGAGTTAGGTGACGGTCTATGATGCTTTCATTAGGCCGGAAGGCATAGACAGCTTGTCTCGGTTGTTAGTTTAAAAAAAAAAAAACAACCCACACCCAAAAAAAACCACGAACACCAAACCCCACAATGTTCTGCTTTACTTGTGAGTTTTCTTTTTTTTGTAGAAGGACGTTACCTGCACTTTATGAGCTTTGTTTTGCTTTGGTTTTTCACAGATTGCTCTGTTGCTGGAAGTGACGAATATTTCATTGATTTCAGATCATTTTTAGCTAAAGTGAATATGGAAAAGCTACTGGCTTTGGTGGGTTGGATTGTTTTTTTGAGAGAGGGAGGGAGAGAGAAAGATCTGTATTAAATTTAGATGATTATTATAAGCCAGCAGTACAAGATGAGCAGTTTGCTATGACTCTCCAGGGCATGTACGGGAGCCTACCTGCCTGTTTCAACTTCCTATCCAAACACTGCTCAGAAAACTCCAGGACAGCAGAGCTGAGTATCTAGCGGGCTTGCTAATAATTAGCATTGCCTTGTCACTTTCAGAGGTATCCCATTTTCACTGGTATGGGGACTTTTTGGTTTTTTAATTCAGAGATCTCACTGTGTTTGTTCTTTGGTGTTATAGATTGGCTAATTTTTTAATTAAACCAAGTCTCGGACACAGTTGAATGAAGTGGGGATTTTTTTCCCTCTTGTAGGCAAGAAATAACCTTTAATTCTGGGGCTGGAGTTGAAAGAAAAGGCAATTCCCAAATTTGGCAGATGTGCCTCTCTCTGGGTGGCCCAAGACCTATTTGGAAAAAGCATCAGAGCTGTAAAATCAGAGAGGGTGAATCTCATTTACAGCAAGGCAGTGGAAAGGGATTCTTAAACTGAGGACAGTCAGGGCCACCACTATTTTGCAGGGCCTTTTGCTATGCCCTCTAATACTTGCCAGAACTGAAACTTTATGTTGTGTAACAAAACAGGACACAATACAGCCACATAAGAAGTAAGTGTGAGTACTTGAAAGTGGGTGTACTGGGAAACTGAAGAGACAAACTACAGTTCTCTTCTTATTTCATTAAAAATACAGATGTCTACTTTTAATTCCAGTATTCCAGTGTTAATTAAAATAAGTATCTAACCAGTACACATTGCCTTCATTGTTCTGAGAAAATAAATCTTCCCCCAGAACATGCCTGTGGAAACAGAATGCTTGAAATATGGTACTTGCTCTTCATATTTCTGCCTCAGTAGCAAGTTCACATTTTTCCATATGGTCCATCTGTTGAGAGCAAAAACAAAATTTCTAAAGCATGAGCCATATCATTCTAAATTGGTTTTATCCCTAACCAAAAAAACATGACTCAGATTCACAACAACCGTGGAATTTTCCAAGTGATATCTCTGGTTTTGTAAACCCCCTATTCTATTAAAAAAAAGGAGCTCCTAAATCCATATTCTGTTAAAATCTAGCTATGTATTTAAAAAAAAAAAGTGTTTTGTAAAATACATAATATAATGATCCAGACTGGATCAGATCTTGCTCTTATGGATACTGGTGTGAACTTTGAGAAAATTCCCTGCTTTCAAGAGGTAACCATGTGAAATACTCAAGAAATGTGTGAATACTTAGTAATGCATTGTACAGCTACATCTATGGTAGCATGTATGTATGTTCCCTACATGTATTTTACTTATGGCCCTAGACTGAACAAAACAATCTCAAAATACGAAAGATGAAAAAGGAAGTTTTGAGAGTACTTAAATAAACTAGTGTACAAAATTTTCAGAAGTTTCGTAGGGACATGAGTCACATTTTGAAAACATCATAGACTTTGGAAGCCTGGACGTTACTGGCTTCCTGTGAGACTGAGGTTCCTAAGTCATTTCTGTTCAGTTGGAAATTTGTACCCAAGTTCGCTGAAGACAAAAAATCAGATAGCTTCTTCAATAAATACAAAATTAAGACCAGAATTCCTAGCATTTTCTTCTTATTTGAAGAAAAATCTGTATGAATATAATATCTGTTACGCTTTTAGAGTATTCTTTTGAAGTATCCTACCATGAAGGCCTTGCTGGTCTGACTAATTGATTCCTTACTCACAGAGATCATCTTTTCTAGTGCTTTTGTTGTTACTGAAGAAATGAGTTTACATCCAAATTTCACTGGATGAAAATAATGCTTCTCTCTAACAGAAGGATGTTCCTTCTTTTCTTAACAGCAAAAGAGTGAATTATGTACTTTTTAATGATATAGCCATTTTCTATATCCGCCTTCATGTAAAGGCCTTGGTGGGATAGAAATTGACAGAAGGTTCTTGAAAACAGCAAAAAGAGAACCTTTGTTCCCATGATGCTAGTGAAAGTTCCAGAGATATTAATTCAACAGGGCAGGATAGAAATACTAGTTCTGACTTAGGCTATGAAATGGACTACTAAATATGGATGTGTACTGTGCTTCCCATGAAAAAAAACATTCTCCCACAATGCATTTGCTTATAGGCAGTGGATGAAATGGAAGTGTGAGGTCCTGATCCATTCAGCCATTCCTCTCCTGCCAAAAAACTGTTTGATGATATGCGTTCGATGTTCTGAGAAGTGCTTTCTGAACGCATGTAAATACTGCTCTTTGCAACTACTGCATGTAGAGTAAAAAAGCAATTATTTTAGTATATGCGGCTTAGTATTGTGGTTTCATCCAGTTAATACAATATATAAATAGTCCAAGTAGCCTTTTTTGAGGCAGAATGGAAATTATAAGGCTCCCACAGCACAAATCTCTACTTGTTGCCCTGAGTTGCTTGAGTCCAACTTCTGCTAGTGTCATGAAAGAAAATGGTACATGGGTAATGAAGTAGAAAAGAAAGACACAACAAGAAATAACATCTGGAAACCTTGAGTAGGACAAAGTGTTTTGGAAACAACACCGTCGCAAGCTGTTTGTAAAAGCACAGTGTACAGTAAACAACCTGCCAAACAGCACTGGAAACAGTGCTGCACTGCATATCTGAGCAACAAAATGCCTTTAGCATTCACACATAATCATAAGCGGACAGGCTCATCTCGGCTCTTGTCTTGGCTGGCCCACCCTGGGCCCATTCTCAGCGGCAGGTGCTGCAGTCCATTTGCTGACAATGGTTTCAGAGTGAGTATAAACACACCTGAACTGTTTTCAGCGCCATCTCAACAGGGCTGACCCTCCTCGGTCTGGAAGCAATTTCAGCATTGTCTGCAGCAGTGCTCGAGTTGTTTTCATCACCTCCACAGCTGCACCAACATCTGAAAACAAGCACGGATGGAGCAAGCAACCATCACTGGCCAGTGGCAGGAGCAAAGCCTAAGGCTTTTAATCAGCAGCATGTTCTTTGGGATTGTGTAGGGTTGAGCCTCACAAGCAAGAGATAGAGGTCCCTGTGAAATGAAAGTCAATGCAGGTGTGAATGCCAGCTTTCCGGGACAGGTGTTTAACAAGATCACCATAGTGCAAAATAAAACTGAAATCACGGGGGTAAAACATTTTTACTCTCTTTCAGTAACATAGATCAAAATGCCTTCTATTGAAGGCATTTTGCCTTCTATCAAAGGTGCAAAAAGTCTTCTATCATGCCCAGCAATATCACCTTTTCATGACAGAGTTATCCTTGTTGCGTTTTTCTCAGCTGAATATATCTGTGGATGTGACCTTGGCTCTGAAGAACATAATCTCCCTTCCTTAATAAACAAATATATCATTACAGCAAATCAGCTCTAAAGAATCATCTGCAGATTCTCAAAATACACCTTTATTATACAAAAATCGTTCCTGCATGGTTTCTTTGAACAAGATACTAGTGTTTATGCCTGACACTGGTCCTCTGCCAAAGTGGTTTTCTGGAAGTCCCACTTGTACAAGGGCAACATCCCTGACCCTTAGGGCTAGAGGCAATTGTGGAAGAGTGGAATTTAAAAAATCAGGGCAGCTTTCAATGCATGTGAAACTCGGATGGATAGTAGAGGTGGAGGATTGTTCTGAACAACGTGCATTTGCAAATAAGAAGGCTCTTCAGCCCATGGCGAGTAATGATGAAGCAGTTTGAAAAGGAAGCTAGCTACCAGGTCGGCAGCAGGAGAAAAAGAGGGAGAGATTCTTGCACCATGGCAAACTCAGAAAGACAGGCAACGCAAGTGAGATGTATTCAAGGAAGCAGATATCAGGTAATTTCAGGTTACATGCTGAGTAAGAGTGGCTAGAAGAAGGAGGAGGAAAGAAGATTGAAATCTATAGTTGTTTAGTGTGGTGGACAGTCATTCATACTTATGTCTGAAGCACAGGAGCCTGCATTGCTATGGTGATATTTTGAGAGCGTAAGTCTGAGCTGTGCCCCAAAATGGAGAATAAAGGTGAAGGAAGAATTGACAGCCAGCAGCAGAAGAAAAGACAGGCAAAGCACAGAAGAGAAATTCCTTCACTATGACCAAGGGGAAAGCTGCACTGAAGTTTTCTGCAGAAGAGCTTATGAACTGAAAGGGCGCACAGCTGTGTGGCTTCAAATTTTGAGAGCACCTCTGCCCTCTCATCTTACTTATTGACTGGACTGACTATTTTTCCGTTTGTCAGCCATGTTGAATATATTTCCTGCCTTTGGGTTTGAGTTTGTCTTCCCATTTTTTGGAATTTTTTTGGCTTTTCTGTGATTGCTGTTTTAACTATTCCTCTTCAAAGGAGCTTACTGGAAGACACAACATGCCATTACAGAAATAGGGAAATCATGGTATTTTCATAGATTTTATGTGACTGGTGAAAGCAGCAGTGTAAATTGCTGTTATACACTGCATTGCAAATTTTAAAAAAATCAATCCAGTCCCTTCATGAGATGGAACAAGCAATGATCTGATACATGTTTTTGCTAGCCCTTATTCTTTTTTCTTTTTCAAAACAGACAAGCAAAAAGATTTCCTAGATTTTTTCTCTGGTGGATTTTTGCTGTAGATTTTGCAAAGTGTTAACTTCTGGAAAGGTTACACTTTCTTGCCTCTTTTCTGATCATTTTTCACTAACACCTAACCAGGAGGTCACTTAATGCACTCCCATCTCCGTAGGCCAGCAGATGTCAGTCTGTTAGTGCAGTGGTTTTGGTGTACTATTGCTTATCACGTTTTTGCCCTTTAGGTGCCAACCTGGATTCACTGGAGCAAGATGTACTGAAACTCTGCCCATGAAAATCCAAAACCAAGAAAGTATGTTAAAATAATCTGAACTTTGCTTTCTTCCCCAACTACAGCAACAAAATCAATAGTACTTGGTGTTTTCACAGTTCAGCTGGAACTGGCCTCTTTGTGCACTAATTTATGACCTGATTCTCTAAAGTAAAATCTGTACACCATGGCATTATTGACCTCCAAAATGTTTCTCATTTGTGTGATTTTTTGATCTTTCCATCCGTTCGCAGATGCATTTGTATTGCACATACTGGCAGCTTTCTTGCTTGGGAGACTGCTGTAAAGTGCAACCCTAAAAGAACAAACTCATGGAGATGAGTGATGTACAGATCTTGTGTCCTTGCTGCCTTGTGGAAAGTGCATCCTAAAACCAATTTGGGAATTTGGAATGGTGAATTTCTGTCTCACATCTTGAAACACACTCTGATCTGGATTGGTTTGGTTTTGGCTGGTTTTTCAGGGGGGATTTCTTTTCATTTCCACAGAGCAAATGAGTTGCTCTCAACATCTTGAGCCATTTTGACACGCTAAACTGAGATTCAGTTTCTGAAAGTGAACTCACCAAGTCATATCAGTTCACACTGAAGGAGCTTCTTTCTTAGCATATATTCACCTCTTCTCTTTTCTCTGTTTTTTCTCTACCATTTTTTTTTGTTTGTTTTTCCTCTCAGGTGCCCAAATGAATTTACTGGTGATCGCTGCCAAAACTACGTAATGGCCAGCTTCTACAGTACGTCCACTACCTTTCTGTCTGTGCCGCAGTAGAAGCATGCTCAGTCGGTGCTGCTTTCTTGTCGCTGCATCTTTCCTCCAATTTTTTTTTTTATTCTGTAACTAGATTTGTTGCCTAAGGCCTAATATTGATTGTCTCTGCCTGTTGCATGAAAATGATAACAAAAAGCAATTGCAATACTCTCCTGGATTGTTTCGCATTGAGGTTATGGGGAAATGCAAGACTTAGGAACGCTGTGAAATTAACACTGAATGGTGTGATACGTACTCCCCATTGATACCAAGCAGTAAAAGTGCAAAAATGACATTTTGAAAGTCTCATGTTTTATTTGCCACAAAAAGCTTATGGGTCTTTATATGGGGCAGTGCTCCCCCAACAAAGGGATAGTTAGCTAAACCTCTACTTGCATTGTTTGTATTTGGACCTACAAGTTAAAGGTAATTGACATGCTTACATCGTTTCTAATGAGCAGATGCCAACAGGATCAAAGTGTTCTTCCTCCTCATTGTCCAAGTTTCAGAAGAAAGAGCACAGAAAGAAAAAGAAAAGGGACGGCATAAACAATGGGGTCTGACATATTTATTTGTGGGTAACAGGTGCAAGAGATCAAGTATTTCAGAGCCAGATTAATTGGCCAAAGAAATGTACCAGACAGACAGACACACACACACACACATACAGAGAAGACTCTGTCTGTGTCACACTGCTGGTAGAATCAGCACTGCAGTCACATATCTCCTAAGCTTTTCCATGGAGGGATGGGCTAATTATTATTACTTGTCAGGGAGAAAAACAGAAAGTACACCGAATATTTATTTTCTCTCATTGGCTATAGCAAAGTCAAAGGTAACATATAAGAAAATTGCTTAGATCTTACATTTTAATGCATGTGTACTATTCATAATTAATTGTTGCTGGCATCAGAATGTACTATGATCTAAGAGCAGTGTTATAGGAACTATTTTTTTGATGGATTACTTGCCAACACAGAAAGATTTCAGAGACTAGCTAGCTTAATTTAATTTCCATTAGTCTATAGGACAAAAGCTGTTAGCATGTGCTGGACATTTTGGAGCCTGAAGAGATGCATAGGTTTTTTTCTTATACTGATGGATGAAAAATGTCCATACATAATTCATACTGCCCATCATGGAAGCTACCCATGTAAATCCCAAAGGTGCTGACTGAAGACCAGACCTTCCAGCATTCAAGTGTGTATTTTATGCCCTGTTTTAAAAGCTTTATTAGTGTGAGTTATTTTTTAAATGCTTCTGGTAACTATGGATTTCACAATTTTTATGCTGTTACAGTGTTTAAGTTTACTAGATGTTATTGTGGTGAAAAGTACAGTTAAGGTTTTCTGATCTTAGAAGAATCATTTAAAAGAAGGTGATGTAAAAATATAAGATCCATTGTTTACTGCTGTATTTACCTTGAAAACTATGGAAGAATTGTATTTTGATCATAAATTCATTTTCCTACCCAGGAGAAAAAAAAAAAAGAGGTTTAGGTGGGTTTTCCTTCATTAGTTTTTTGGTTTCCTAACTCTGGTTGGGATTTTTAAAGGAATCTTTGGGCAGGAGACACCAGGCTGCGATTTTCTGAAGTTGCTTCCATGGAAAAGGCATAGATGCCCTTGCCTTGCTGCAAGAGTTATACTTAAGCTGGTCCAGCCTTCCTCTCCTTGAAACACACTAACAGGAGAGCACCTACCTCAGGCTACTCTGAGAGTTCCAGGCAATGGCTGAGACACTGGCACTTCTGCCTACCCTGCATTTGCAGTATAACATCAAGTTTCTTAAACTGCTACAAATCTTAAAATGACACTTTTGGAAAGGGTCCAGTGAGGGTACATTTATATTTAACCAAAAAAATTAATGAAGAAGCATTTATATGACTTTTTATTATTACACCCAACACAGACCAGAGCATACAGTTAAAAAGGTCTTAGAATGAGAGTTATCTTCAGGCAAATGTTGCATTTGGGGCTTAAAGCCAAGCTCATCTTTTGTACCAAGTGTTGCGGGTGATTAACTTGGCTCTGTAGATGCAGCTTTTGCAAAGTATAGAGCAAATCGGGATGTTAAACAACATAAGTGCCAGTAGGAAACAAAAATGAACATGTGAACTATACAGTGCTATCTAATTTTACTTGCTTTCAGAAGGGTCTTTCTTCATTTGGAAAGAAGGGGTTGATGGGGTTCCATGCCAAGTGTGCCTACTGATGAGCTGTAGCTGATGCTACTATCTTAAGGCTCTGCATTTGGCTATTGAGAAAAAGTTAGCTTCAGAAATCTGCCCTAGACTTGGTATTTGTAAGAGTTACGAAGAAACTTTGCTGAGGGCCGTTTGCAAGATCAAAACAGGCCAGTGCTGAGCATTCTGGAAATCCCCCATCCCAACAGAGTGCAAGGCTAACTGGCTTATCTTGGCAATGGTTTGGTTAGCCCTGGAGGGTTCAGTTATCATGGTGCACTAGAAATAGGTTGAAAAGGGACACAGGAAATTAGGTGGATCTCCATTTTAAGAAAAGTTCTTCCATAGAAATGGAGTCAGTGAAAATGTGAGCGTAATTGGCAATGGATGTGAGGGAGACTACTGGAAAGCACATGTTTAGGCTGACTGCCCCTTGGCTTCCAGCTTTGCAAACACACCAAACCATAGGACAACCTGTTGTGGCTGAGAGGTGATGGCTTGTTAGATTCCCCACTGCCACAGTTACCTCCAGCACTGCAGCTATGCAGTTTTTCCCCTTCAACTGGTCCTTACCGCCACTGCAAACCAAAGGAAATTAAAGAACAAACTTTCGTCATCTCTGGAGTCTGGCTGGCAGACCCTGTAACATCCTTTGCTTGAGCACAGCAGTCACAGCTGCTACCAGGTGTTTTCCCCAATACCCTGGCTTTTTGCTATGGCAGTTTTGACTTTGAGGGTCATGGTCGACCATTGGTCCATAAGACACCATAAGATGGTCCACAAAGTGTTGCAAAAATAGATCTGTTCCATGAAGATGTATTTGCTGTATTTGAATGTTCACACATTCACTTCGTTGAAGGCATGGAAGCAAGGCAAATGGAGGAAAATAAAAGTAATCAATTAACATTAAAAGTTTTGGCTAATTTTTATGTAGCTATGCATGAGAACTGTTATAGCAACACTGTGCAGAATGATCCCTGGGGTAAGCAACAGTGGTGGAGCCTCCGATTAATAGGAGGTTGAGGAAACTTCTCTAGAGCATACTCACAGGTAAACTTTTTGTCCTCCCAAACCCCCCAGGTGGGCCAAGTACCCCACCCAAGGACCCCACCCAAGGACTCCACCCCCGCCAATTGACTTGCTTACTTCACTAGTTAACAGTTCTATACGTATCATGAATATAGAACAACTTGTGGGTCATGTGAGTCATCTCGGGCATGAACTGAATGTGGTCCCTGCTTTCCTGAAGGCAAGTGTTTCAGCATGGGACACCAGTTTAAACTGTGTCCATTTCAGCTCTGCCATCCTTGGTGAGCAAGAGGGACAGTATCAAGAGGGGCAGAGGGAAATTTCTGTTTAGATGACAGCCCCTGCCTCATATTGTCAAGATGAGCCTGGCTGAGAAATTAAAGGGGGGAACAGCTGAGTAAAGCTATGGTATTCTAGAAGGATGACCAAAACTGCTGTTGCTCTGTAACAGCCTTGATTTTTCAGTCTTTCCACATAAACTACAGATCTTCAAAGGTCCATTTTTCAGCAATTCTACTAGCTCAGTATTTCTCAATTTCTATATATTCTCAAGTGGTCACATCTGTATGAGGGTACTAGACAATCTTACTGGAAATTTTCATTTTCTAAAGCCTTTCAGCACCCTAAATTGTACTCTTTATGTGCTGAGACCAAGACTCCTAAATGATACAAACAGTTTTGAAAATGTCATTGTCCATCTTCTGCTCAAGGTTAAAGAAGACAGTTTTTCACTAAAAACTGCTCAGTTAATGCTCATTAAGTGCTAAGATTGCTATGATAAAATACTCTAATTAAGAAAGGACATTTTCTATGCTTGTGAGACTCAAGTCAGTTGTAGGATAACACTTTTACAGGAGCCACAGGACTTAACAGGATCCTAAGTTCAAAACTGATTTTGAAATGAACCAACATTTAGGCTCCAAAGTGGATCCTAAGCCTCATGAAGAGACACAGCATCCCAGCCCCTCAAGCAGAATTGGCTGACATGCAGGGGTTCTGCTCTGTGATAGTTCGGGGGATTTTAGTTTGTTTTTAATTCAAATTACATTAAAAAGAAACTTTTTTAGAATTTCTTATTACCCACAGAACACATGCAATAAGAAAACTAAACTATGACTTGGGAAACATGGCATCTTGATGCCTCAGAGGTGAAGTGGGTCTCCCTGGACCTCTCTGCTGCTGCATGCAGTTGATCCAAATGGGTCCTTCCCTTGTCAGGTGCAAGGTCTCCACACAAACTTGCAACTGTGCTCACCCCTCACTGGGCAGCACCATGTCCCCAGGCTACTCTACTATTTTGGTAGAGTAGCCACCCCAAAATCTTGGGTGCTCACCAGCTGTGGCACACCATTCATGAACAGAGCATGCAGTCCTGGAGGACCTGTTCCAGCATTTCCAGGCATCATACTCTTGTTCTGTAGACCCTGGGCCCCAGCATGTTACAATATATCCAATGAGTTGTAGTTGTAAGTCACTTTTTTGGAAAAAAACCTGCATCCCAAGCATTTTTTCTTCCAATCCTGCCCCCACAAAAATCACATCCAGAATGAAAACTGGGTTGTTAAAAATAATTAACTGTATTTCTTCTTAGAGTACCTGGACAAGTATTTAATAGAAACCACATTGCATGTAAAAAGCATGCAACAATATTGGGTTAAATAGGAAAAGATCAAAAACAGTGACATGTTTATAAAATGAGAAGTGTTGGGATATTCTGCTTTCTTTTAATCAGGTCTAGGCAATGTAGCTAGGAATACCAAAAATAAATAAGAGCTACATGACATCTAGGTTTGAATAAGCAATGCAT